CACCTGCTCAATATGTATATATATATATATATATGGTATATATATATATATATATGTCTATCTATTATACTATATTGTATTATAGTATATTATATTTTATGATATTAGAATATATATTACGGTATGTTATATCCAAACCAATGATTATGAAACTGTTTCGCTGTGAAGATCAAGGCAGGACTCAGGACCAAGTGCCGTTCCCGTGAAAGGGCCCTACACAGGTCCATAAGGGGTTCGGGGCTTCTGAGTCTTGGAGTCGGATCCGACCACCCGGCGTCCTCAGCATTTGTGCTCATTGGGAGACCCCTACACCCTAAACCCTGCACTACACGAAGGCATGGGTAAAGAAGTGGGCGAGATGTCCGGAAAAGTCTCGAAGCATCTTGGAAACAAAATGAAGCAGGAAGCAGGCGGCAAACCCCCCTAAACCCATTGAACAGGGAGGACCTGTTGCTTTCGGGCTCCACCTTTAAACCCCAAAACCCAAAACCCTAAAACCCTAAAGCCCTCAAAACCCCAAACCTCAAAAACCCTAAAAACCCTAACTTTTAAAACCCTAAGCCCTAAACCCTAAAACCCTAAAGCCCCAAACCCTAAACCCTCAAGCCCTAAAGCATTTCCTGCCCCAGCCTTGCTGAACCCGATATGCGTGCGCGTCGCCTCACAGGAGTCTCTGTGACCCTTCTTGGAAAGCGGCCTTCTCGGGTTTAGCGGGTTAGGTTTTAGGGTTTAGGGTCTGGGGGTTTAGGGGTTTAAGATTTAGAGGGCTTTAGGGTTTAGGGTTTAGGGATTTATGGATCTAGGGTTTAGGGGTTTAGGGTTTTTCTTTTTTGAACTCCTTCGTAATGCTCCTATCGATGTTCGTCGTAGTACTTTGAAGTTCACGCCTGAGTCCGCCGGGGGTGGCTCATGAGCTTCTTGACGTATCGGATTCCCGTCGGGCTGAAGTAGTACTCCTGGCCGCGTACCAGTTCCGTACACAAGGGCGCTGTGGAGACTTTGAGAAGGATTTGCTATGGTGGCGTCAGGGTTTTATGAGGGTTCTATGAGTCTTATCCATGGTTTTGCAGGGTTTCATAGGACCGTATTGGTTTAAGCCAGCTTTAAGCAGTGTCTCTCAGCATTTATGGGGCTTTGTAAGGGCCGTACCAATGTGTTATGGGTTTTGTAAGGACTTGATCAGGGATTTTACAGGCTGCGTAAAACGGTGTCACAGAATTTCATGGGGGTGTTCAAGCAAGTTGCAGAGGTGTTTCCTAAGTTCTTGAACCCAAAGGTTCCTTGCTTAGGGGGTCGGTCCTACTTTGCCCTGCTCCAGCATCACATTGACATGGAGAATAGAGCTTCATACCTGCACCCTCAACACCGAACCCCACGAACCCACGAGGTTGAAGCCACTTTGGCTGGTCAGACGTCTCGTAATGCCATTGCTCTCCTCGCCGTCTATGAGCACCGAAGTGTGGTACCCGGCAAAGCCAGCCAGTCCTGCCAGGGCAAACTCGCTTTGGCCCTTAGCAATCAATACCTGAAACTTGTCATTCAGGTGCACTGTAGGTAGTATTATTAGGGGTACCCCTTAAAGGGTACCCCTTCTGAGCCCTACTTTTGGCTCTCTTAAAAGGGACCTTATTGAGAGGGTCTATATCCCCAAGGGTCCCCCTAATCCTAGCTGTCCTAGCTCCCACACTGCAATTAGCACGGTGGAGCTGATGGCCCTTCGGGGTCCTCTTGCCGATGCAGCCAGCTCCACTTCGAGACCTGCCACGTGGAAGGTCGGGAGAGCCACGTATTAGAATAGGGCTCTGGGCTCCTGTATAGTATTGTTATAAGAAGGAACCCCCCAAAATTAGGGTACCTGATTTTGGGGTCCTTACAATAAGGATCCTATCATTTAGGGTACTATATTAGGGTCCCCTAATAATATTAGTAATCACCGATCACTCTGGCATGGAGACAGGCCAAACGAGGTCAGGGGTGAAGGCAAGGGGGTCACGCCACGAACAGCTGCCAGGTCCTCTGACACACAAGAACAAGAATCACAGGACTGCCACGGTTCAGGCCTGAGGTGTTGAGAGACCTCCGGGAACAGAATGTTTCAGGTGTCGGGAGGGTTTAGAATGGCAGGACTCGTTAGCATCGCTGCTAGATGCAGCTGCTCCTGCTCATGCCTTTCAGAAACACTACCAGGTCAGGCACTACCTACAGGCGACTGTTTGGCTCAACTTCAGCGCCTCAGCTCCACCGGCTTCAAAAGTTTCTTGCCTCAGCATCTTCGATGTTGGATCAGGGGAAAGCTGTCACTACAGGGTGGTGGGAGAGACGACCCTGAAGTGGCGGCCAGGCAGCTCTTCGTCTTGGGGTCGCTGCCCCGGGTCGGCACTCGCAACAGCAACGTTGGACCTGCTTAGGCTAGGAAGGATATGCTAAGCAGCATCATGGGCTTGCACACCGGATCCTGAAAACGTCTGAGGAGAGAACCAAGACTAGAGGAGAACTCACTGCACTTGCAAGGTGCAACTGTAAGCCCTGATTACGAAGCGTGCCTGGCATTGTGGCGGCTGTGGGGTACACCGGGAAAAATGCTGCTAAGCCGAAAAATATTTTGATTCCGAGCATTTACAACCGAGGTGAAGATCTCGTCATGGTTGAGGGGCATAGCTCCGGCAAGCTCTTGAGCTCTTGAGTGTCTTCAAACGAGACACTGAAACCCTGGCAGTCTGCGTATAGTCTATGCATCTACTGACCAGATACACTGTCCTTTCCAGTTGCACTACCCCGCTGCAGCATGCCATGACCAAGAGGGAGACGTTTTTGCACCGGCATCGGCATCGTTGACGCGCGCACACACACACACACGCACCGAGACAGGGCCGGCGAAAGGCTCGTTGCCACACACAGGGCGCCTCCATCTTTCAGAAGTGCCATCTGTGCCGTGGTATGGCTCCACATGAGCACAATGACCATTGTTAAGTCGTATGTGCGCACTTGGGAACTACGGCATCAACACGTCAGCTCGCTGAAGTGCATGTCGTCGTCCGCCATGCTGGGCAATCCTTCGACAGCAGGTGTCGGCTCGCATTATTAAGGTCACTCTCTTTGTAAAGTTCCTCTAGAATTATGTCGGCCCCAACTAGCATTGTGCTTTCGGGACTGCCGGTCCCGACACGTGCAGGCTCATACCTGAAGGTCACTACGTCTTCATATATTCGCAAGGAACCCTCCTGTCTGCCTTGTAGGATCAGGATCGAGAGTTTTCAAGCCCTAAAATCCCAGAAGCCTGCTAGCCCCCTCTAAAGCGTGCCACTCTTCGCGTTCCCTGCCATTGAGGGGTGTCCTTGTGGCCGCTCCGCCATCAGGACACCCTCATCGGGAAGAAGGCCGGATCCTAATTGAGCAAAGCCGATCACGGCGATTCGGGAGTGTATAGTATAGTACAGTACAGTATAGTTCTCATAGTATAGTACAATATATACTAGATTATGTTGTAGCATGTCATTGTTGAGTGTAGTGTGTCGTGCTGAGGCGGTCAATCAATGAATCAAGCAATTTAACAATGTCGTCCTATCATCCGGGAGCTAGGGAATCGAGGGAAGCGTATTGGACGCCCATTTTCGCCCATGGCGTGCTGTGGCCGATTCTTGTTAGTTGTCTGCTGCGTTTGGCATCTTGTGTGAGGAGAAGCCGGCCCACTCCTACAAATTCGGCTGCTTCAACGACACATATTACTTTCTGTTGTTATATTATATTATACTACGATTATAAAATATTATATTATCTTGCATTATTCTATACTAGCTATATTCGATGTGGAGCGGTCGTAGCCCCAACATGGAAGCAACCCCTCGGAAAAGTTCCACCCACCCGGATACTTGGAGGATCATGGGACTTCGTAAGTAGGGTTATAAGTACCTTAATTGGAGTTATAAGTAATTATAAGTGTAGTCACCTTATCTACAACCCTAGTTACTAAGTCCCATGATCCTTTAAGTATGTACACCTGAGCCGATGCGCCTGCGTCCCGCGCCTGCGGCCTCTGCAGCGTGCGGCGCACAGCTCCGAGGAGGGCCGTGGCTCCTTTTTTCTTGGTGGAGAAAGCCTCACCCTGAACCCTGAACCCTGAACCCTAAACCCTAAACCCTAAACCCTAAACCCTAAACCCTAAACCCTAATACCCTAAGCCCTAAACCCTAAACCCTAAACCCAAGTGTGGAAGTGTGGACAACTCCGATACCCTAGGCAGGTTCTGATTCTGGGGTTTCGGGGTTCTTGGAGAGTGGGGGCTGTAGGGTCTCAGGTTCTGGGGCTGGGACTGTTTGTGGGCGGAAGGGCTCAGGGTGTTGAGGGCGTGGAGCATGACTGACATGAGGGTTTCAGGTTTGTGGGGTTGGGATTCGTCGGAATCCCTAAATTCCTGATTATAGGCGCATCCCTGTGAAGCGCTGTTCCTGAGCAGCCTGCACATCTGGGAGCTTTACACGGGCTAACACTTGATGACAGAGCCGGGTGGACCGACGAGACTGTGCTTGGACTCGACCTGTACCGGCAGATCACTGCCCCGTCAAAAACATGCTCTTCTTGTGTGGACTGGAATGCTACTAGTACCACAGCAGCCCACATAATGCTGCGAACCTGTGTAACCCTAAACCCCCAAGCCCCTAAACCCTAAAGCCTAATCCGCGAGATCCGGACTACAAAGAGGCCTGCTTCGTGGAATTAGCGGGTGCCAGCTCACAGCTCGAGTGGCTGAATGAGCGGCCAACACTCAACCAACAAGAGATTTCAGCAATGCAGTAAGAATAAGAATAATGCACATGATCGTAACCGTAGTAATCAGAATCCAATCGTAATTATAATCATAATCAAAAAACTACTACTAATAATAGCAATAACAATAATACTACGTAATAATGATAGCGAATACATACTACCACCAAATACGAATATCAATAACCCCAAGTGTATCAAAGCTTTCGACTAGTGAAAACTTGAGTCCGGGGAGCGCGAAGAGGCCGAAGCTGCCACGTTTTCCAGCAATGCCGGGCCTTCCCAGGTGTCGGGTTTAGGGTTCAGGGGTTCAGGGGGTTTGGGGTTTAGGGTTTCAGCCTCCCCTTTTTAATTCTAGGGATCTCTACACAATAAAATAGGGACCCGTTTATTTAGTGCTCCACATTTAAAAGTCCCATGCATTCCAAAACTCCCAAACCACGGCAAAGGCTCTGGGCGCGTCAGAGTTGTCCTTCAGGTGGCCTGGGTGGGCCTTGCTTCTGGAAATGGTGGCGGTTTGAAGTCTTTGCCCAGATAAGTTTTCCGGCACATTCAGCGAGTCTTGGCCCATCTCCTCTCAAAAATCCGGCTTGGACCTCTCTTTGGCCCGAAACACTACACCCTGAACCTACTTTACCTGTCCATGTTCGATCAACGAATTATTCAGTAAAATATTTATGCAAAAAATCATATATCGTAATGTCATTAATATAGTATACCACAGCACATAGAACAAAAGCTAAGATGAGATAAGGTAAGATAACCTCTATGATACAGCAGTATGTTTTGCACATCTCCCACATTGAGCCAACGAGCTGTGATGCAATAACACCCAGCATCGTCCTCTGTACGAGCACTCCACAACTTCGGGGACAGGTGCGGACAAAAGCGCAAGGCACTCAAAAACATGTAGTGATTATATAGTGTAGGGTTTAGGGTTCTGTGTTTAGGGTTTAGGGTTTAGGGTTTACACCACAGACTCCTCCCTCCTACAAACTACATCTCAGATGTGAGGACAGCCGATGCTTTCCTCAAGAGGGGCCCGAAGGATCCCAAGTAGATTCAAGTAAAGGATAGGTGATACAGGGGCCTTAGTACTTAGAACGGGGTTTTGGGGCACACTATACTTGCTCTACGATAATTATGATTAGGAGCCCCCAAAATAGAATAGGAAATCATTGAGGCCCCGATGTTGGACTTGTACGGAAAGCCGCTCCCTCGCCTCCAGCACTTTCGGCGGCAACCGGCTCAATGCAGTCCTGAACAGAGAAGCGACGCTGGTCTTAAGAGAAAAAATGCTGATCAGCGTCTCGCTGCCAAGGGCCTCGAAGATATCAGTCTGGCCATTTGTCGAAGCTCCTGCGCAAGCACGAGGAAACTTGCAGTGACGGCCTTCGACGAATCTCCCCGAGTCAAAGTCTGCACACTGACAAGGCCTGGTCGGCGGCAGACCAGCCGGAACCAGAGACCATAGACGGCTGGCGCCAGCAACCCGCTGAGGGTGCCTTCCCACTACGCCCACTGCGCTTTGGTCTCTGCCCTCCAGCAACAAACCCCTACCTCCGGGCCAAGGTGCACAATGCAAAGTGGCTTGAGGCATGTCGATGCTGCCCCTCCTCGGAGGACACAAGGGAAGTAGCAGAGAAGGCTACCGTCGACTGCATTTTTGAAGAGACTGGCTCTCCTTTCCACTCCTTGGCCTGTGATATGACCCAGGGAATGAAAGGTCTCTGTGAAAGCTGACGGCTTCTGCTTCTGATCTCGAGGGCAGGCAGCGCCAAGACCCGAAATGAAATTTGCAAGCAGGAGGCCATGTGATTCTGGAGGAACAGCCAGAACCTTGGCCAATAAAGACACTTCCACGTAGATGAGCTACGGTCTGGCTACCGGGAAGGAAAGCATCGGAAGTGCAGAGCATCCTGCCAGCACTCAGCCCGGATCAGGCAACCCAAGGCTAGCCTGACAGTGAAGCCGGGCGGCATTCCTGAAGTGATCAGAATTGCGAGGATGCACGAAACCCAGAGGAACACAGTCGCCGCCGATATCCTTGGGCACGCCACTCAGGAACAGATCCGGACTGGGGGCGCTTCTTCCCGTCACCGCTGCATGGTAAAAGGCCAGAAACGCAATCCATGTTCGACCATTCATCATGATGTAGGTAGGCACCATTCTCTCGGGGTGACCTAGTGGCTTCCGATGCAAGAGGAGATGTCAGAGCTGCCAGGCGGCATGAAGCGGCATTCCTTGTTCCAGACCCGTTTGAAGCTCTCCTGCTCGGGTCAAGGGCACCACTCCAATTGCTGCAGGACCCACAGCCAGACCATGGAAAGGTGCGTCCCGACGAAACAGGAATGCATCAAGAAATCCGTAGTCCTGATGCTCGACGACGAATGTGCCCAAACCTCGTTCGGTGAAGCAGAGCTGCGTCTCGTCAGGCTGTGGTATGACGGCCAGAGGATACGAAGATGCTATCATACTGCACATGGCTGGGACAATTACCTGCAAATCCCGTCTCGCTACACAAAGGTGTGGCGCAGGATCAAACTGATGCAGCAAGAGCGCATCAGCTATCCAAGCCCAAAGCATCCGCCACCGACTAAGGGGTGTCTGCCGAGAACCAAGGTTGAAGGCCCGGGCGAGTGACGGCACCTTCGACCTTCTCGAGGAGCTGACCTGAGGAGGATGCGACTGGACGTCACTCGAAGGACACTGAATGCAATCTGCGGGCGGGAAGGTTTATCTTTTGCTCACATCACATCATACGAGCAGACCACTGCACTGCAGATCACTGCCGCCCCTCCACGGAGCTTCAGGTAGCTCTCTATGATGGAGCCGAGATGCTGCCATCTCTGTCCTGCAGCCCTTCTCCGTTGGCCGTCCTTAGCAGTTTGAGCCCCTTGAACATCGAGAGGGCCCTCTTTCAAGCAAAGCTAAGGGAAGTGACCCTCTGGGTGCCTGGCTCCTGGCTGAAGTCGGCAGAGAGGGACAGGCGAAGCTCCACGTTGAGGCGGCCGATGGATGTCTCAGAGAAGGCTCTGAGTCCCCAAAGACTCCAATATCCCTTTATTAAGGAATCTACCTCAAATCATATTAGGGATCCTACTATAATTTAAGGTATATTCCTTAATTAAGGGATATTGGAGTCTGTGGGTCTCTACCCAGCACCAGTCATATCCGTGGAGACGGGGACTGGTGACGAAGGCTGCGCAGCGGCCCGCGCCCGGCCTCCAGCCAGTGGTCCAGCTGGAGCTTGCTCCATATCAGCCTCTGTCGAGACCCACTTCTTGAAATTTCGCAAGACCGCAAATTCACTTCCCCTGTGCAGCCAGGAAACATAACGATGCCTCGGCTGGGAACATGTATAAGCATGGACCATCACGGACCCACCGTCTTCGGAACGCTCACTCAGTCCCTCATTCAAATTACCAGTATCCCTCCCTTGCCATGAAGACGCAGAATGCATGCTCAAATGTGGGTTCTACCTGCGCAACTTCTCAGCCCGACGCCCCAAAATGGAAGGATCAGGATTCCCGACACCGAATACCTCGATGCAAAGGCTCGGCGTCGACAAGTCAAGCCGTACACAGCACCGAGCTGAGGCAGCCGCACCCAGCACGTCACTAGCCAGGGATGTTCGTTCTCTTCACACTCCACGCAGCCTGATGCAAGCTCAAAGGCCGCAGCAGGAAAGATGAATACATTGTGTTTTGAGATATAAGTGTACTGTCTTATAATATCTTATATTCTATCGTATTATATGGTATCATATTGTATTGTAAGTTCTACTAGCCTGCCTCTTATGAGCCTTTTGCTGGTAGGTCTTGATTGCAAAGCACACCCTTGATCTTTCAAGACTCACTACACTGCAGGCTATTTAGAAATCACTGGACGAGATAGTCGGTGGTCTGGGATTCCGAGTCAAGACTTTCCAACTACTCACACAACTAACTAAGTGTCCACAGGTGCGTCATGAAGCGAGTCACGAAGTGACGGTCTAGACTGCTTCTGTTGCGAGGCCTGATTACTAGCATCTTGAGTCATACTTTGTTGGCACCGGTTGAGCCTCTGGGGTCTGTTGACAACCATCGCTTGCACATGCTCACACTGTGCAGGGCACGTCCCTATCAATCTTCAGGAAAGATCAACACGTGATGGGAAAGGGATCCTTGATGAGGCAAGGGGTCAACATAAGCAACACTGTCAAGCAAGTCTTCTTTTGTCGCCTGACACCGGCACGAACTGGTCGGAATACTGGAGCGTCGCCAAGGCAAAAGTGAGGAGTAGTGTGTGAACCAGAAGCAGGGTGTCCTTAGATTCTGCATCACCCTGTCCAGCCTTGCGCCTTCTTTCCTGATGCCTCTTCATTACGCTGCCCGCCGACTTTAGTCCGAGGAGCTATCCTGCTCGCATACGTCTGATGATGGTCTCGGACATCCTCCTTGACTGCATTGAGGAGATCGATCCTGAAGGCATATATATATATATATAAGTACATACATACGCGCATACATACATAGGTACATTGTACATACATACACATGCATACACATACATACATACACATACATACACATACATACACATACATACACATACATATACATACATACAGACATACATACAGACATACAGACATACAGGCATACAGGCATACAGACATGCATACATACAGACATACATACAGACAGACATACATACATACACAGACACACACACACACATATATATATATATAACATATTTTTGGTATGTATGTACATATTAACTAGGTGCGTGTGCGTATGTACGTATGTGCATATGTATTTGTGTGTATATAAATATAAGACTATATGTATACGCACATTCTATATATATATATATATGTATGTATATATATATATATATACTGCTACATGTTTTATGTCGCACATTCTACGCCATGCATGCTACATGTTAAGAAGGCCGGTCCTCAGGGCCCTGGAGTCGAGGCAGTAGGCTCGGCCTTCGAGCAGAGCCAAGGGCACAGTCGGTGCCGGGGTTTGAAAGGTTCGGCGGGTGCAGGTTTTAGGGGTTCAGGGTTTGGGGGTTTAAGGGCTCGGGGGGTGCAGGGTTTAGGGGTTCAGGGTTTAGGGGTTCAGGGTTTAGGGGTTCGGCGGGTGCAGGGTTTAGGGTTTAGGGGTTTGGGGTTCGGTGTTAGGGGTTCGGGTTAGCGGTTCGGGATTTAGGGTTTAGGGCTTCAGGGTTTAGGGATTCGGTGTTCGGGGTTCGGGGGTTTCGGGTTTAGGGGCTAGGGTTTAGGGGTTCGGTGTTCGGGGTTCGGGATTTAGGGTTTAGGGGTTATAGTTGCTAGGGGTTCGGGATTGACGGTCTAGGCAAGGGTTCGGGATTTAGGGTTTAGGGGTTAGGGGTTCGGGGTTTAAGGTTTACGGGTTGGCCCTTCAGCACAATTCTCAAGGGTGGCATTGGGGCTTTCGGGTTTAGGATGTTTTGGGATGCTTCGGGGTTTCTGGGAAACACGAAACAACTACGGACTGAGCACCGCAAGCTCGGTGCTCCGCGTGCCCACTGCATCTGCTCGCGCTGGAAAGCTTGCCCCTGGCCGATCTCCACGAACTGGCCCAAGTTGGCCTTGGCGTAGCTACTGTACGGTAGTAGCAGTCTCAACACTGTAAGAGGCGTTTGACCAGAATCTACGCAAGCTGCGGATGACCGTTGAATTTAAATCAGGCCAGGGACCAAATGGCCGATGCCATTGAGGAGCGTCGCGCCCGCGACGAGCGACATGGATTCTGCTCCTCAGATGCTCGACGACCCGGCGTTACAAGGCCACCGTCAGGCAAGCAAGGGCGATTTTGCTACACCTGTACAAACCTCAGCGTCCGGCAGCGCTTCGCAGAGCCAGGTCGGGACTTTGCCGAATTCCTGCGAACGTGTCTGTCCACTTAAAGATGATGGGCGAGCTCCCGCATTGCTAGACCGGACGTCTGCGATCCCCGATGCATCTGCTCATCACCAAACTCACTCTAGGCAACGACTTCCTCAAGTCCATGGCGACCCGTGCTTTCCCTGACACTACACGAGGCAATCTTGGCTCCTACACGCTGTCCACCATAAGGAACTGAACTCCGGAGACAACCCCAAGCTCCTCCGAACTTTGCGGAGCCGTCTGCAGAAGGGACCCATGGAGGGACCAAATGCAGGAACAATCTCGTCAGGAGTTGGCTGATCCAATGAAGCTATAGTCTAGGAAAACCTCTGAAGTCGCAGTATCAGGAGTTGAGGCTATCAGTCTATCCGGGTGTTCAGGTCTTGAGGCTTTGGGGATGCGCTCCGGGGTTTGGGGGTTAACAGCCGGGTAACTTTGCGCCCTAGTATGCTACAGATTCCTTGAGCACTACACAACGATCAGAATCGCTGCAGATGAAGGGAGGTCAAGCGCAGCATGAAGGCAATGGCAGGCACATCATCTTAGCCTTCCCACGATTGCCGCAGTTCGAGCAGCAATGCCCCTGTAGAAAGTTATCGAGTGAAGTACCGACCTACCGACCACAGGCGACACGAAGAATTGCCTAAACGCCTCAACTCTGAACCATGCCATCCTTGCTGTAGGGGGCAGAAGGAGATCTTGTGCAAGCTCCGACAAAATCTAATTGATTGCGGCCGTTGTCACAGAAGAGCCTGCGAAAAGGGAATGTCAGCTTCAACATAAAACTAAATCCTGCCGAAGCTTAAACCGTGATCATCTTTGTCCTCAACCTGCTTTGATCTAGGCTCCTATGGAACAGCCGGCGTGGCTCCTGTGAAAGACGCGGCATGCTGTGCTTCTATGCTTGTCGGCTCTGTGATCCTTTGATGCGGCATCCGTTGATGTGTGTCTGCCGAGTGGTCTGCACCGGGTCTGCATCAAGCTGCACGCTTACCAAATTTCGATGTGCTAGTACACGCCCCCACGTCAAGGCAGTGCATGACATCCTCACTAAACACACGCGGGAATTTTTCGCCGCCTATGCTGTTGCTACGGCTGTCAATCTCCCATGCTTCAAAGCTTGCATGGTCTTGCATTGTGGCCTCGAACCCCTCGAGGAAATGGATTCCCTGAGCACCGAGGACATCTTCTTCGCCAGGTGCAAGTCTTACATGCGACCAGTTTGCGGCTTTTGTGCACGGCTTCAAAAGCCGCAGGCTGGTCGCATGTAAGGCTTGCACCTGGCGAAGGAGATGTCCTCGGTCTTCAAGGGCAGCGGCTCAGCAGGTACTCGTTCAGGCCGTCGAAGATTAACGCTGCAAATTTGACAAAGGGCAAAAAGATTGCAAATGGCATTCGCCGAGCAAGCGGATCTGATGGCGCCTCCAGGCGTGTTGGGTCTCGGGGTCAGGAGTTTAGCGGCTCCTCTAGGCTTGGCTTTTCGGGGGAACAGCACGGCCCTTTAAGAAACCCTTCGGCTTCCGCAGCGTTTGGAGTTGAGGGCTTTGGGGTGGTTTAGGGGTTTAGGGTTTAGGGAGCCACGACCTCTTCGCAAGCAGCTTGAGTAGCTGCTGGAAAGCTTGAAGGTTTAGGGTTTAGGGGACAAAAGCGCGTGCTGAGCAAAGAAACCCCTCATTCAAAACTCACTCTTTTCGGTCCCCTCGAAATCAAAACCCATTCTACAACCCCTCACAAGGACTCCCGGGCCTAAACCCCTAACCAGACCACAAGCAAGGACAGCTAAGTTGATGTTTGGGGTTTAAACGCGTGAACCATCTGAACCATGGGCCCTAAACCCTCAAGCCCGAAAAACCCTAAACCCTAAACCAATAACAGAAGAGCAGCCCGGATGCTGGCTCGCCAGTACTCGCCGGCTGACGGCAGGTGGCGCGAAATGGCTTTGCACCTCGTCAGGGCCCGGTGTTTGCTTGATTTGCTGAACATCCGAACCGTGAGCCCTACCCATAGGCCCCATAGTAGTTCCTTTTTGGGATTACCTTATAGGATTCTAAATATGAACCCCAAAAAGGAACTGCTATGGGGCCTATGGGTAAAGCCCAAGTGGAGGAAACATCACTGCTTCTGCTTGCACGCACTAGCAAGCTTCAGCTCGATATTTCCGATTGCAACGTCAATCCCAGTCTGATCTAGCACATTCTGCGCTGCCAGTGGAAGGATAAGGGTCGCGCGACCGCTTTAATTACTGCTTCTACACATGGAAGGTGGACAGTAGAGGCAGCAGGTCCATATGGCCCGCTGCCCTCGCCAAGTCTTCCGGCGAGTCTCCTCGATCATTAGCAATAGGCTCAGCATCATGCTCCAGAAGTAGCCTCACCAGTCTCTTGTCGCCCATGACGGCAGCAATAGACAATGCTGTGGCCCCTGGAAGGGAAGCCATTTGACGCTGGTAAACAGTGCACCCCTCAAGCCCCCAAAGGGCAGCAGAAACGCGAGCACGCAAACACTCCTTGTACAGGAGGCCACTGGGCTTCGCTTGCGCGTTTGCATCACCTCGTGAGGACAAGAGCATCTGCAAGATGGCTGGCGCATCCGGGCTGCCACGGCCACAGAAGGACACACTGTACATAGGTCCGAAGCCAGTTGGGGAAACGGCGCCAGCGTCACAGCGAGCCTCCAAGAGTGCCTTCACCGTGCTTGCACTGGAAACTGCGACTGCGCCCGTCAACGGCGGTGATGCGGCCAAGTCTGCTCTCTTCTCCAGCAACACCTGTACATGGCCAGGCTGCGATGCTAACCATGCCGCGGTAACCATTGAGCCAGACTCGGAGACGCACACAATGTCAGGATCGGCCCGGGACGTGATAAGGGTGGACAGGATCTTCGGCTCTTGAGAACTATAGGCGGCGACCATCAGCAAAGTTAGAGAGTCGGAGTATCCCAAATGTCCAAGACCGCTGATACGAGCGTTCACATCCGCACCATGCCTGACCAAGGTTTGCAGGATATCCCCTTCGCCAGCGAAAAGTGCACACAACATGCCCGTCATGCCACTTTCATTCTTCACAGCGTCATGGAGGCTCGGAAAACTGAAGTGTCGCAAGAAGCC